GTTCAAATGAGGAAAATACTCCATCCTTGTAAAGATCGCTGATAGACTTAATACCATTGTCGTGCCAGACACGGAATGCTGGATCAGTTCTAGAGGGTTCAAACCTACAGTTCCTGTGCACGGAAGTCAGGGCAGAGGGGCCTGAAAGCCCAAATTGTTTCCTAAACTGGTTCCAGATCTTTAAAGAGGCTGATACTACAGGGCAATTTGATAAAGGAGAGAGTGGGAGTGGAAGTTGGGAGCATAGAACGGAGCGTAGTGAAAACGGAGATAATTTATTCTCTAAATGCACCCAACCGGGCAACAGGTCATCGTCCTCAGACATCCAAAACAAAAGCTTCTGTACATTAGCTGCCCAGTAATAATGTCTGAAAATTGGTAGGGAAAACCCCCCTCTATCCTTAGGAGATTGCAAAACTGATTTCCGAATCCTGGGAGGTTTACCAGCCCACAAGAAACTTGATATTGATCTATCCAACTTTTCAAAAAAAGTTTTGTTAAGAAACACTGGAAGATGTTGAAACAAGTAAAGAAACCGCGGAAGAGTGACCATCTTAACCAAATTTATCCGACCAACAAGTGAAAGAGGCAGAACCGACCAGCGGTTAAAATCTGCTTCAGCTCTATCTATTAAGGGGGAAAAATTCTCACGAAACAGGTCCGCAAAAGACTGTGAAATTTGGATGCCCAAGTATCGAAACCCACTGGTTGCCCATTTAAACGGAACTACAGAGGGAGAAATCGTTCTGGCCAACTCATTAATAGGTAAAAGCTCACTCTTTTGATAATTCAACTTATAACCCGACACGCTACCATATTTGTTCAAAATGTCAAAAATCACAGGGAGAGAATTAACCGGATCAGCAACATAAAGTAAAAGGTCATCCGCATACAAAGAAACCTTATGAAATGTGTTCAAACGCATAATACCCTTATAACGTGCCTCCGAACGTAGCCAAATGGCCAGGGGCTCAATCACCAAGATAAATAACAAAGGCGAAAGAGGGCAACCCTGCCTAGTTCCCCGGTGCAGAGGAAAAGGGCGGGACAAGACATTATTCGTCCGAACAGATGCCCTAGGAGATGAATAAAGAAGTCTGACCCAACTTACGAATCCCGCACTGAGTCCAAATCTAGCTAAAACGCTAAACAAAAAGCCCCACTCAACCCTGTCAAAGGCCTTCTCCGCATCGAGAGATACCACAACCTCAGGAAGCGAAGAGCAGGAGGAAGTGACAATATCAAGGAGACGCCTAGTGTTGGATGAGGATTGCCGACCCGACATAAAGCCAGTCTGATCTAATCCAATGATGGGTGGCAGGAAGCGCTGAAGACGAGAAGCAAGAACCTTGGAAAGAATTTTAAAATCCACATTCAAAAGTGATATTGGCCTGTAACTTCCACAAAGTAAAGGATCTTTGTCCTTCTTCAACAGCAAAGAAATGGTGGCCTCTGACAGGGTATCCGGGAGATGGTCATTAGCGAAAGCCTCATTGTACATGTCTGTCAGAATAGGACTGAGCAAAGCGGAGAAGGTCTTATAATATTCAACAGTAAAGCCATCAGGTCCAGGGGACTTACCGCTTTGAAGCTCACGGATAGCCTCCCGAACTTCCAAAACTGTGATGGGAGCACCCAGAATTCCCGCTGCACAATCATCAACCTGAGGAAAGTCAATACAGCCCAATAAAGCGTCAGGGGAGCGAGGGTAGTCAGAGGTATAAAGAGTAGAGTAGAAATCTGCAAAGGCAGAATTAATCTCCTCTGGATCAGTCAGAATAGCCCCTAAATTAGATTTTATAGTTGGGATCAGCCTAGAGGAGGCCTCAGCCCTAGCCTGGTGCGATAGAAGCTTACCAGCCTTATCGCCAGATTCATAGAAGCGCTGTCTGGCCTTCAACATTAAAGTTCTAGTTTGGGTGGTAGAGGCAATATCAAACTCCATCTGTAAGGTAACACGTTTCCTATATAAAAGTGGATCAGGATTAGTGGCATACCGTTCATCAACCTCTTTAATGTCACGGAGAAGAGAATTAATGCGAGAGTCATCAGCCCTTTTGCTATTGGAAACAAAAGAAATGAGTTGACCCCTGATATAGGCCTTGGATGTTTCCCAAAGAATGCTCCTGCTCGTTTCAGGCAGGTCGTTTAGTTCAAAAAATAAAGAAATATGATACTCTATAAATGCCTTATAGCAATCCTCCGTTAAGAGAACAGAGTTAAACCTCCACATCCTAGGCAGACGACAAGGAGAGAGCAAAGCCAAATCAAGGGAGGTGGGAGCGTGATCCGATATAGCAATGCTATGGTAATCAGCTGCAATAATCTTTGAAAGTAACCGAAGATCAAGAAGGAAATAATCTATACGTGAATATGAGTGGTGCACGTGAGAGAAAAAAGAGAAGGTTCTGGCCCCCGGAGATTTATGCCTCCAGGGGTCAGTGAGCCCATATCGCTGAGAGAGTGCAGACAGGGTCCTAGCCGCTCGAGTGGGTGGGGCATTTTTAGAAGACGAACGGTCCAGCACGGAATCCTGCACAAAATTGAAGTCACCCCCAATGATTATATAGTGATCCCGAATGTCTGGGATAGATGCAAAAAGTTTAGTGATAAAATTGCTGTCATCCCAATTAGGGCCGTAAATGCAAACCAGAACCACGTACATATCTTGAAGTCTACCGGAAATCATTACATATCAATCAATCAATCAATCAAAGTTTATTTATAAAGCGCTTTTTCATACAACAGATGCAACACAAAGTGCTTTACAGTTTGGCTAAAAAACAATCCTGCCCATGCCCTCCCCCCGACCGCCCAACAGACCCTCCCCAGACCACAAGCAAACACCCCCCCCCCACACACACACGCGCACACACACACGCACCGATAAAACAATAAAACGACGATAAGAGACTTGCCGTTTGGGTCGAGTACAGATTTCTCTAGTGTAAAAGGAATACCCTTACGAATGATTATAGCCGCGCCACGTGATTTAGAGTTAAACGTGGAGTGAAAAACCTCCCCAACCCAGCCTCTTTTCAAGCGTGTAATATCCTTATTGAGTAAATGAGTCTCCTGAATAAAGTATATGCCCCCTCTAAGCTGGTTCAGATGAGACATCACCCGACCCAATTTAGTACTACTCCCTAACCCCTTCACATTCCAGGACACAAATCTAAGTGAATTACCTACAGACGTCATACCTTAGTGCTGAAGTTTTATTAGCACAAATGTGACTCGGACAGGCAGAAGAAGCAAAGCCAGCTCCTGTGAAGAGAGAGAATAGAAAAAAAACCAAAAGAACGAACACGCTAGTGGAAAAAGAGAGAACATGGAAAAAAAGGTTAGACAGGCAGACACACATACATACACACACGCCCAAAACAAACAAACAACCCCGTGGCCTAACGCAACCCTGTATGCTGAAAAAAAGTGTCCATTGCACCAAGGTGTTCAAAACACCTATCCGAGGAGTTCCCATTGGTCCAACACACCTGCTCCCGCAGTGCAAAGAATCATTTTAGTGATGGCCTGTGACGGAGCGCCAGTGACTGCTCCGTCAACAGCTGTGTGCTGCTCTCTCCCTGCGCTGAAGAGAGGGGCGCGTCTGAGCGTATGTGTGGCGCGGCATGCCGGCAGGTCCGCGCTAGTAACCGCACGGCCCTGCATCAACACAAACTCTTCCCCTGCCAATACTATCCCTGTAGCGCACAAGGGTGCACACTTGCTGCCTACACTACACACATCTCATCTCCCATACACAACTCACCTGCTGCTTGTCTCGGTCCACTGGCCAAACCGAGGCACTTCCTGGTCGCACCATATATAGCGCAGGGCGCGCGCATGTGACGGGCCAGAGGACTCTAATTTCTTAAAGTATTAAAATGTGTCTTTTTTTCTATTTGTGCATTGCTATATGGGGCAATGGAGAGGCATGTTCACACTGAGGAACAGGGAGGGAACTATGTGTGGGATTTTGTTGTTTTTCTGTTTAGAAGAAAAACCCCTGTTAATTTATTAATGGGTTAGCCCAGGGGCGGGGCTAACTAGTTAAAAGAGTGCGTGCTCACTCCGGAGGGGTGGTTCTGTCAGTCTGTGAGTGAGCTGGAGTGAGCTGTACTGAAATTTAACCCAAACTGAGCTGGCTGTAAGTCCTGTCTTTTCTTGTGAGTCTGTTGTTTTTTTTTCCTGCACTGTAAATATGTTTCACTGTTCACTGTTTTGGTGTGAAAATAAAGTCACCACAATTCATTTTTCCGACTGAGCCATCATTATTCCCATCATTTTTAAACGAACCTTCACATGGCCATTCAACCTGATTAAATATAAATAATGAAAATTAAAAAAAAGGCAACTGTGCATTGAGTCGATAATACAGCAAAATAGAACCAAAGTTGCTATAGTGACTCAAAATACTAAACGAAAACAATAATAAGATAACATAATTAAGAGAAACACAAATATGCATATATTTATAACCGTAATAATAGCAGACTAAACGCTTCCGCAAGTAGACAGGAACAGAAACAAAACAAAAGACCAAGCCAGTGATGATAAAAAATAAAATAAAAAAATGAAAAATAAAAAAAATCGGAATAGTTAAAAAAAATAATTATATAGATACATATATCCATATATACATGCATACACATACACAGATATACACATATGTGTATGCATATATACATACACATACATACACATTCACACACACACATGCACATACACATACATACATACACACATACACACACACTTTACAACAATAAAAATAGGTTTTGGAAAAATAACAGCACAAAAAGAAAATATCAATAATAGAGACTGGTTCGGTGGCTGGCAGCCTCTCAGTCCACTGCCAAATGATAAATACTGGTATTTAACGAATTAACTCGGCATAGCTTAACCTAACTAGCCTTGGCTATAGTGGCCAGGAAGCATTGGCTATACAGTAATTAGCTCGTAGCGCTAACGTTTGCACATAACCACTAAGAAACGACAAGTCAGTCCTGCTCCGTGGGTGAAGTAGAGTGCTGGCGAGCCCAGGAGTCTGCAAAGTCGGTAGCTTCCTTCAGGGAGGGAAGAAACTTTTTCGAGCCACCGTCCAGCACAACGAAGAGCCTGGCAGGGTATCGCAGGGCAGGCTTGAGGCCCATCCCGTATAGCTTCTTCATAATGTCTCGGTACGGCGTGCGCTGCTCTAAAACCTCGGGGCTGTAGTCTTCAAAAATTAGGAAAGGGGCATCGTTGTACTTCAGCTTACCCCGCAGTTTACGAGCACTCTGCACAACCAACTCTCGTGTCTTGAAATCGTGAAAGCAGATCACCACAGGCCGCGGCTTACCAGAGGGGCCTGGTTTAGCAGCGAGCGTTCGGTGGGCCCTGTCCAGCTCCGGGGGAGATTTCAGAATGTCCAGACCCAGCGTATCGAAGAGCAGTTGTGAGAAAAATGCCGTTGGCGTAGAGCCCTCAATGTTCTCAGGGAGACCTATTATACGAATATTGTTTCTACGGCTTCTACCCTCGAGGTCCGACACTTTAGCTCTCAACTTAGCATTCTCCGCAACAACAGTGGTGAGCGTAGCCTGCATAGCCATGAGGTCTGTACTCGTAGAGTCCGCAAACTGCTCCAAACCCGTAATGCGTAGCTCATGGTCATCGACAGACGTCTCGATATTCTCCAGCTTCGATTCGTACTTAGTGTAGATGTCCCTGACTTCTGCCAAAAACTCGGCCTTGTGCTCCGCTAGCTTCTCGGTTAGCAAGTCGGTGATCGTGCTAGTAAGGCTAGTCGAGACTTCCAGTTCTTGTGCTTCTTTTCCTTTCTTTGGTGGCATCGTACAGAAAAGTATGCGTACGGCACTATTGGCCAAGCAACCCAAAAAAAAAATTTGAGAAATAGGTCAAATTACCACGTAGAAGTTATAAAAGTTGAGGAGCACCACTACACACGTCTACTCCGCTCTGTGGACCATACGTCACCCCCTAAAAAAACGGGACCCATTATTAACTCCAGAAATAAACATTCTTGCCTCTCTGGCGAGATCAAAGTCCAAAACACCTTCTGGCTAATCTCTCTTGAGGCAGACTGGGAGATTCACCAACGGCATTCTGACGCCTCCCAGTGGACACGGGACGCCAGCACACCCGAAATGAACATTCGGGAGACGCCCACAAGTGACGTCATCAGACGTCTTGATAAAACTGTTGGTTTGAGTTCTGGGGGGAAGTTAGCACAGGGCAAGAAGAGAGGGACATATATAGTTTTAGGAGCACTCTTTGTTGGAATTTCTGTATCTGATTGTAAAGATAAATTAAATACAGATGTTAAACTTGGAGATCTCTTGTCTTACTCTTGCATCGACTTTGAACACGTCAGTCAAAGGGAATAATTGACTTCATTTGGTGACCCCGACGTGATCGGTGCAGGAGCAAGACAGAGATGAGCTCAAATATAGACTGGGTCCGTCGGCCGGGAAAATTCTCTCTTCTCTTCGAAAGAGGTAAGCGGATCGTTACTTTTGAAAATCTGCACATTGTTTTAAATGGAAGAGAGAGAGAGAATTCGGCTCGGGGGACTGCAGCGTGGCCAGACGACCGCCGTGACGGGCGTTCTATCGGACGCGATAGAACAATAGTCAGGTTTTTCGACGTTTTTGAACCTTGAGGGATGTTGGTCTCTCTCTAAAAAAGAATATACAGGATGAAAGAGCCACAGGGGTATAAGTGCAAAAGAGGCACATCTTCTTAAAGTGCAGAGAGGCACAAGCGTATTAGTGAAAAAATAGGAATAGAATTAGAGAAATAGGGACAGATTTAGGGTCAGAAGTGATAGGATAATAAAACCTTCTATATCCCCCGGGGGGCGGGAAAAAGGGTACAATTAATTTAAACAGAAAAAAGCCAAGTATTTAAAATGTGAATTCTGATAATAACGATCTGATTAATGAGAAAAAAGAGAGCCACTTGGCTGTAGTATACGAGTTTCATGTGAAGAAATGACAAAAGATCAGTTCTGGGAGTTTTTCTCTTATTCTGATGTAATGTTTCGATAGTTACAGAGAATCAAAAAAAAAAATAAAAGATTCTGCTGGAACTCTTGATACATTAATCATGTAGCAAATAGTAATGTTTTCCATTACTGACGTATTTAAGGATAAAATGTAAAGTGTCGTTTGACGTGAGAAAAACTTTTACCACTGATTAAAACCTTGTCACGAGAAAAACGAGGAAAGTATTTCAGACTCCATGTTTTCCTTTGTTCGGGAGGCCCCTCCCCTTCTTCTTTCTCTCTCTCTCTCTCTCTTTCTGTCTTTCTCTCTCTCTTTCTCTCTCTTTCTGTCTTTCTCTCTCTCTCGTGAAGAAAGAAATTTTTTGTAGAAAATTACATTTATACACACGATAATGTTACTGACATGGAGTCATAGGATCACAGAACTTTGAGTTAGATTATAAAGAGGCATTATTTTATTTTTTATCTCCAAGGCGTCTGGACAAGTTTTTTTCCCTACATTTTGGTGATATAAAAGTTAGAATGATTTTAGAGAGCATTATACTTTTGGAAAAATAGGGCTTAGGATAGCAGTTGAATGCAAATTCGGTTTTCAGAATCTAATGTTTAAAATGTTAATATTAATTATTTCATAGGTTTATCTTGAATTGTAATTAATTATTGGTTTTGTATGGTAATTAACACACTTGTTTGTGCTTCTTGTTTGTCTGTTTTTTCCGAGAAAACTTCTGTCTGTTTCATTTGTGCCAAAATCGTCTGCCACAAGTCCTCAATCGGGCGCCATCAACACGGACCATCAGCGTCTCCCCCTCTCCCTGCGGGTCGCAGGGGGCAGCATCGGCTGCAGCAGCTAACAGGAACTCTCGAAGAAGACTTCTCCTGCCTGTGAGGAGGCAAAGAAAAGACCGCAGACTTTTTCACAAAATGAGTGTTGTCCCATCTACGGAACAGAAGGTGGCGGTAATGCGAAAAATAGGCCGCCAACCGCCGGAAACCTAACAAGAAGAAGAAGGACACACACTGGTGTGCGTCAAAAATGAGACAAAGAAAGACATGAGAAAAGTTGTCGAAAGAAGAAGAAAGTGATTGAAAAGGAAAAGACATTATGAGAAAAAGTTATCGGAAGAAGAAAGAAAAGTGATTGTTGAAAGAAGAAGAAGAAAGAAAGTGATTGTTGAAAGAGGAAGAAAAAAGGCATTGAGGCAAAGACATTGGACACTTTGAGACAAAAGACATTGAAAGACGCCATAAGTAAAAGAAAGAGACATTAACGGACGCCATAAGAGGAGGACGTGGCCGGGCTAAATGAAACAGACGGAAGGTAATATACAGACAGGCAACAAACGCACAGAGACATATTAAGTCATATTTACACATTTAGCTAGGTCATTCGTTCATAACACTACATTTAGCTGCATGAAAGAATACAGGACAATCGTTAAAATTAATTCGACTCTTTAGCATGAGACACAAGGAGATTAGAACAGCAGTATATTTAAGGTAGAGGAGCTCTATTATTGAAACTATTATTGTTATTTAAAGTTATAGATGCGGAGAAGTTTAGAATTATTGATTTAAACTGCATGATCTTGGTAATACGGATATTTAAGGCAATTTTTCAACCTCTGAACCGTGGCTCGTTAATCATTTAAAAACAATCACATGCACAGTTGAAACTGGTGCTAGAAAGAGAACTGCAGCTTTTAATGGACGCTGCATTTAGTACAAAATGGTTTGTTCAGACAATTAAAGTTTGAAAAATGATTTAAAGCATTTCTAAATTTAGGCTAAAGGTGATATTAGACCATCTTTGATGGCACACTAACGCACCACTGTCCATTGGTTGAAAACAAGGATGTAGGGACATTTTTTGAAATCTTTTATGACATGTTTCTCTTCCAAATAGCTAAATTAGAAACAATTAGGACAATTATGTCTTTGATACAACTGTTGGCCGTTCATCTGAGACATGATTGGTGCAAGTACAACAACACACATAGAACAATGGTCTTTTCTCCACATGAACGTGAAACAAAGGTGAAGTATTAAAGTTTGAAACTAATTTACATTTTTAAGGAATCCAAACTGGCTTTTAAAAAAAAAAAAAAAAAAAGGGAAAAACATTTTAAAGTAACAAGAGCTCATTAAAGATATAGGGGACACAATCTGTGATAAGCCCGAGTACAGACCACGTGGTTTAAACACTAAAGTTGGAAATGGATCCTTTTAAGAAAAAATCTCTCAAAGCTCTGCATGTTCTGCAGGCTCTGAAAGTTGCAACAATAGAAATAGCTCATGAGACAATTGTAATTGGACATGGAAAAATATAACAAAGTTAAAATTACAGGCCTTCTGTGTGTTATATGTTTGTGTGTGTTATATGTTTGTGTATGTTATATGTTTGTGGGTGTTATATGTTTGTGTATGTTATATGTTTGTGCGTCATGTCGAGTACACTACGTTGACCTTAACAAACTCTGGACCAATATACTAACGTGGGGAGGCGGCCTGTGTGAGTGATGCGAGTGTGATGTGAGTGTGATGCGAGTGTGTTGTGAAATGAGGAGTGAATGAGGAGTGCTGAACGGAGAATGGAATAACAAATGTTTTCTGTAATGTTTTAATGTGATCATGGAATAATTATTTTTTGTCAACAGCATACGGTGTAAGTACTAGAGATTCAAAGATAACAAGCTTTATTGAACAGGTGTAAAAGTGAGAGTACTCTGGGATGAGTACTCTGAGAAAAGTACTCTGCGGAAAGTACTCTGAGATGAATACCTTGCTGAAGGTACTGGGAGCCCCTCCCTCTGCTGTTTGTCCTGACAGTGATTCGGTCCAACCGCAGTGAGCGGTCATTGGGCGGAGGACAACTTTGGTTTGTAACTCACATTTAGGGGAGTATAAAATTAGAAACATACATTTTGTTAAGTCTGTATTTGGCTACAGCCTCTGCCCTGATGTCACACACCGTCTGTCAATGTAGTTATGTTTTGCCCAATTGGAAAAAGATTGACAGGCTGCACCATGCCAGGGAAAGTGGGCATTTTTTGTGTTCTAATGTTTCTTTTTCAGATGAGAGATAAACTACCCCTGCTTCAGGGATGACAGTAGTATGGATCATAAGGAAATGAGCCTCTACTTTGGCACCAAAGCCCACAATATGAATGGAGGACGATCCGGGAGGAACAACTGGAGATGAACGGAACAGTAAATCTACACACACACAGATGCATGTTTTATACTTGGCCCATGACCAAGAGAGGGGAGTATTGTATTGTCATAGGTGGTCATGGTCCTTAACCTTCTAAATCATTAGAAAGAAGTGTAAAACATATATTTACAAGAACAAATAAATAATAGAAAGGGCAGCCTAAAAAAAGCAAAATGGGAAAATTATTAAATAATTTTCGGAGTTGCCAAAATGAAATAAAATTCTATATTTGTCCCATAGGGGGTCATTCTAAATTTAGTGTTGTGCAAATTCAAAAGGAGAAATAATAGCGCTTATAACATCAAGCAGATCTACTCTTTAAGATAATAGATCATATAATAATAAGATAATAATAGAATAGAATGAAATAGTCTGGAGCTATAATGTCATTGGATTCAAGGAGCTATAGGTTGAAGGGTCGCTAAGAAGAGGTGTCAGAATAAACAATAGTAATAATAGTTAGACTAGTGAATAACCATCCATCCATCCAACCATTTTCTTCCCCTTAATCCATTTCTGGGTCGGGGGGGGGTGGCAGTCAGAGCTGCACCCAGTACACAGAGCACCAGCCCCTCACTGATCCTCCTGCAGGTGGTGAGTCCACAGGAGTG